CCCCATCTCTACTAAAACACAAAAAAATAGCTGGACGAAGCAGTGTGCATCTGTAGTCCTAGCTACTTGGGAGGCTAAGGCAGGAGAACTGCAAGAACCTGGGAGGCGGAGGTTGCAATGAGCTGAGATTGCGCCACTGCACTCCAGCCTGGGTGACAGAGTGAGAGTCTGTGTCAGAAAAAAATAAAATCCATTATTGGTCAGGCATGGTGGCTCACACCTGTAATCCCAGGACTTTGGGAGGCCGAGGCAGGAGGATTGCTTGAGCCCAGGAGTTGGAGACCAGCCTGGGCAGTATGGTGAAACCCTGTCTCTACAAAAGATACAAAAAATTAGCCAGGCATAGTGGCATGCGCCTATAGTTGCTACTTGGGAGGCTGAGGTGGAAGGATCATCTGAACCTGGGAGGTGGAGATTGCAGTGAGCCAAGATCACACCACTGCACTCTAGCTTGGGTGGTCAGTTAGCGATTGGTTAAATGTACTAAAACACCATGAACTAGTAAAGCTTGCACCTTCTGCCTGTAGATCTTTGTGTGTTGGGGACTGCCTTCACAGCTCAGGTACTTTAAAAGTCTGCCATAATTTTTACTTTCTACTGGGCCCTTTTGAATCAGTGCTTCCGCTGTGTGTAGTCTTATGGTCAGCCAGAGATGTGTGGATAGTTTGAATCTTCTCCAGTATCTGCATCATGAATGTGTGGAACACTTACCAATGTTCCCTGTAGTCTTTGTCTTCTGACACAGAGTCTGACTCTGTTGCTGACAGTAGCGTTAAGTGGCACAGCCATGGCTCACTGCAACCTCAACCTCCTGGGCTCAAGCAATACTCCCACCTTAGTCTTCCGAGTAGCTGGGACCACAGGTCTGTGCTACCATCCCTGGCTAATTTTTTAATTTTATTTTTTGTTGAGGTAGGATCTTACTCTGTTGCCAGGCTAATTTTGTTTTTTTTTTTTTTGAGACAGAGTCTCGTTCTGTTGCCTAGGCTGGAGTGCAGTGGCACAGTCATGGCTTACTGCAGCCTCAACCTCCTGGGCTCAAGCCATCCTCCCACCTCACCCTCCTGAGTAGCTGGGAACACAGGCACATGCCACCATGCCCAGCTAGTTTTTGTAGAGACATGCTCTTGCCATGTTGCCCCGGCTGATATCGAATTCCTGGGCTAAAGCAATCCCCCCACCTTGGCCTCCCAAAGTGCTGGGACTATAGGCATGAGCCATAGTGCCCAGCTCCCTATTGTCTTGTTTCTGAGTTTCCCGTTTACATTTCTATCTAATCTCCTGGTCTGTTGCTTTTACCAACCATGACAGCAACCTCAGGCTAGCAGAGCCCTTGGTCTTGCTTGTTTGCCACCAAGAATGTGAACTGTTACTGACTGCCTATGGGTATGGGGTTTTTCTGTGCTTTGCTTCACAAGTCAGCCCCCCTCTGTCAGTGAAGCTGCTGGTTTTCATGGCTTTCCCTACCTTGGTAGAACTACCTTTCCCACTCACCTGGGGGTATGTGATGGGAGGAGCCACAGACTGCTATTGTTTTTACCACAAATTCAGCAGGTTTCTTGTGAATAACCATAGAGAAGATAACATTTGAAAAAAGACCTGAAGGAGATTGAGGAAGTATTCTATGTAGAAAACTATGGGAAGTAACACCTTCAAGGCCCTAAGGTGAGAGCATATATTATATAAAGAGGCCAGTGTGGCTCCAGTGGAGTAAAGGTAAAGGGAGGACATCAGAACAGATAAAGATGGCTTAGGCCATTGTAAGGACTGGCTTTTATATTGAAAATGGGGAGCTGCCAGAGAACTTTCAGCAGCAGAAGTGGGACATAATCTGTCTTAAAATTTTAATAACAGCCATAGTGAAATAGAAGTGAGAATGGCAGAATAGAAGATTCAGGATGAGATTCTTGTGATTTAGACAAGGGTAGTAGCAGTGGAAGTGGTGAGAAGTGGTCCAGTTCTGGATGTATTTTAAAGGTAGAACAGATGGTATTCTGATGAATTGGAAGTGGTGGGGTATGAACAGATTCAGGTCTTTATTTGAAGGGAATTTTCCTGTTTATTGTCTGCAAGTGATTTTTCTATTCCCTTTATTGAGTTCTATAATTTAAATCCTTGTTTTGATTCCAGTTATTCTTAGATTGGGTCATTTTTTGTTCCCTAATGTTATCTTCAATTATAATTCCTTTTCTCGTTTTTTTTTTTTTTTCCTGGAGGGTTTGCTTCATTCCATTCTTTCTGTTTTCATCTGTATCTGTTTTGTTTCTTGCTATTTCTGACTTCTTATTGGATCTATTTTTTTTTTCAGTTTTTCTTTGCAATCTGATTTCGTTCTGTTTTTATCATTTATTTTATAGCTTTTATTGAATTCAACTGAAATTCAAATTCTTATTTGAAATGTTCAAATAAGTATTCAAGGAGGAATCTGCTTTTGGTTTGAGGGCTTATATTGTTTTCCAGACTGGGTTCTTCATCTGATGCATGGTAATTTCTTCTCTCAATGTAGTTCTCTTTTTTTATAGGAGGTTTGATAGTTCTGTTATCTTCTTCATGTTATATGTGGATAAGTCTGTTTACACCTTTTTATTTGTAGCTACAGAATATAGACGGAATATCCTTGATAGATTTCCAAACTCCTTTGGGAACTATCCTACCCCTACTCATCCATTGTGGTTAGTTGTCAATTGTTGCTTTTATCCTCTTTTCTTTTTTTTTTTCTTTCTTTCTTGAGTTTTGCTCTTGTTGCCCAAGACAGAGTGCAATGGTGTGATCTCAGCTCACTGCAACCTACCTCCACCTCCCAGGTTCAAGCGATTCTCCTGCCTCAAGCCTCTGACTACCGGGAATTACAGGTGGATGCCACCACACCTGACTAACTTGTATTTTTAGTAGAGATGGGGTTTCACTGTGTTGGTCAGGCTGGTCTCAAACTCCTGGCATGAGCCACCGCACCCAGCCTGCTAATTTTGTGTTTTTAGTAGAGATGGAGTTTCACCATGTTGATCAGGCTGGTCTTGAACTCCTGACATGATCCACCTGCTTTAGCCTCTCAAAGTGCTGGGATTACAGGCATGAGCCACTGTGCTCAGCCTTATCCTCTTTTCTTTAACCTTAGGACATGTTGGTTGAGAAGCTTGCTACTGAAGCATTCAGTTATTTTTGGCAGATCTGAGTTCTGTTCTTTTTTCTAAAATCTTATTAAATGTGCCCTATCCAGGGATATATTCCATGTATTTCCATAGGCTTTGGCTGTTTCTCACAACTTGGCTCAGTGTTCTGGAACAAAGTAAGCCTCAAATACTCATCCTGCTTTTCCTGAGGTCCCAGTGTGGTTTATAGTGGTTCTTACTCTTGATGGAATATTTTTAGAAACTTTCTCAGAATTATGTACTTGATTCTTCCTTTTTAAAATGGAGAGTATTTCGTATAAGTCTATTCTAATTTCTTTCTTGAACTGAATTTTGTAAATGTTCTTCCAGTCAGGTGTCCAAGTATAAGAGTTCTATGATCCTTATCATGCTTTTAAAAAATTATTATTTGGCCAGGCACAGTGGCTTAAGCCTGTAATCCCAGCACTTTGGGAGGCCGAGGCTGGCAGATCACAAGGTCAGGAGTTCAAGACCAGCCTGGCCAACATGGTGAAACCCTGTCTCCACTTAAAAAAAAAAAAAAAAAAAAAAAAATTACCCAGGCACTACTCAGGAGGCTGAGGCAGGAGAGTTGCTCAAACCCAGGAGGCAGAGGTTGCAGTGAGCCACAAGATTGTGTCCATCCTGTGTGACCAAAAAATAAAAAATTAAAAAATTAAAAAAAACTATTTTTCTTCCATCTCTCCGTTTTTTTATTATTTTTTAATATTTCTTTTATTGTTAACACATCTCTGCTGGCAGGAACTTACGCTTTCTTTACCTAGAAATCTTGAGCATGTATCTTTAAAACTTTAGTAATTTTTGAAGCATTGATTGTATGACATGCAAAAAAAAAGTTTAGTAATATAGAAAAACAGCAATTGTATCTTTGGAATTTGGAGGAGCTTCCTGCAGTATGGACTAATCTCATTTTGATGTTTCAGTTTTCCATGTTAAAATTCCTTTGCACGTCCCTCCTTTTATGTGAAAAAATATTTTAAATGGTCCATTTTCAAGGCATGATAAATCTAGGTACCGGAAGCGAGCCCACAAATTTAACAAACCACACAGCTCTTGCACCTAGGAGGTCACAGTAAGCGAACACAATGTAAAGGAACGAACAGTCAGCCCATAAAAGGGAAGGGAGTTTCATTATTGGGAAATCAAAACTTAATCAGGGAAGGGGACCGGGATATAACCTTATAGGGGATAATAAAACTTAGACAAGGTCCCAGAAGATTATAACCCCATAATATTCAACCAATGAGGAACTGGGGGAGGGACTTGTGTGCTAGGAGATAAATTACCTGTTGTGACTGTCCCAGGTGTGCCTACCCACCAGATACCTGATCTTGCAAGACCATTATGAAAAAGTCTCACTTTTGCTGTTCTTTGTGCCTTTTAAGTCCATTCTTTGGGTTTTTATGGTGAGTGTGTTTCTCACGTTTCACAGTTCCCCCTATAATTTTTACAGTTGTATTTGAGCTGGGAAACCTGAGGAGAGGTTAGATATAATAAATTCTAGAGGAAGAGAATAGGTCCTCCTTGATTTGGATGGGAAGATCAGATGGTAAGAAAGATCTTAGGGAGTGGTAAGAGGTAACATTTTAGTTTGCAAAGCAGATGGGAATATTTCAAATGGATACAAAAGATAAGAAGACTAAGAAAACATACCTTCTAAATTAAGAGGATAATCTAAGATTAAATTTTCTTAGGAAAAATTCTGCTTTTCAGCAGCTACATTGTTTCTAGAGTATTTAAAAAAATAGTTTTGTATAGACAAATACAAAAGAAACCTTGTGGATATCTCAGAAATTTTGTACAGATAGCCATTATTGTAATAGTATATGTGTGTTTATGTTTTTCCTCCAGAATCTCCCTGGAAAAGGAGACATGAATGAATGTCTGCAATGATACTTCTTGACAAGAATTTGATGCAAGAGAAAGAAAGGAAATTAACAGCTGGCAAGCAGAATTTCCAACAGCAGGATTTCGTATTTATTGCTTCCAACTACACAGTTCTGTTGCCTACTTGTAAATCAGAGATACCTACACTCAAAACCCAGACAAGGCAAAAGGATATTTTCTTGTATATTTTTTGAGATCAAAGAAATGGCAGTGTCCAGGAAACAGAACCAGAAGGGTAAGATTACATGTGGGCATAAATTGTTAAAAGCATAGTTATAATGATCCCCATTTATATCTGTATATTTTAAAACTGTCATTCTAATGTGTTTTGAATGGTTTTACAAGCATTTGTGGATATTATGTTATAGCTTTGTGTATTACCAGTCTGGGAATTAATTCATATAACAGTAGCTTTTCTACTCACACAAACTTAGCAAATTGTAGCATACAATCTCGAAGATGCATTTTTGGATACTGAACATAGAGATGTGGTAGGAGAGCTAGCTTACTGCGAGATATTCTATGTTGTTTGAGTTGACATTTTTCTAGAGAAAGGCAATGGAGCAAGATTAAATGCTTCTGGTTTTTCTTTCCTCCTTTAGCTTTCCTTCCAGGGTTATTCCTCTAGCTTTTTGTCTATACAAAGTGCAGAGAGTCAGGAAATAGAAGGGTAGTTATAATGTAGGGAAGGACACAAAGACTGTAAAACGTTTTTAACTTTTCTAGAATAGCTGCAAAAATTTAAAGGGACAAAGCGGTGGGGTGCAGTGATTCACGCCTGTTATCTCAGCACTGTGGGAGGCCAAGACGGGCAGATCACCTGAGGTTGGGAGTTTGAGACCCAGCCTGATCAACATGGAGAAACCCGTCTCTACTAAAAATACAAAATTAGGCGGATGTGGTGGCGCATGCCTGTAATCCCAGCTATTCAGGAGTCTAAGGCAGGAGAATCCCTTGAACCTGGGAGGTGGAGGTTGCGGTGAGTTGCGATCACACACCATTGTACTCCAGCCTGAGCAACAAGAGCGAAACTCTGTCTCAAAAAAAAAAAAAAAAAAAAAAAAAAGGAACAAAGTGAACAGTGTAGCACTAGAACTATCGTACATAACTGGAATATATTGATTAAAAGAATGATCATAGGCCTGGCACGGTGGCTCATGCCTATAATTCTAGCACTTTGGAAGGCTGAGGCAAGCTGATTGCCTGAGCTCAAGAGTTTAAGACCAGCCTGGGCAACACGGTGAAACCCTGTATCTACTATAATACAAAAAATTAGCCGGGTGTCGCAGTGTGTGCCTGTAATCCCAGCTACTCCGGAGGATAAGGCAGGAGAATTGCTTGAACCTGGGAGTTGGAGGTTGCAGTGAGCCGAGATCAGGCACTGCATTTCAGCCTGGGTAACAGAGCAAGACTCCATCTCCCCGGCAAAAAAAAAGAATGATCATAGGTATCCTGGTGTTTTCCCCTAGTTCAGTTTGATTTCTAATTCAGAGTTAATGTTCTTTAATTCAAAACAAAGCTTCATAGGTCGAGGTCTCACTTGTTAAATGTGAAGGAAATGCTTTTAAACTTAAATTTGACTTGGCAATTCAAATACATAAGAAAGTAAATAAACCAGATTTGTGGTTTCGACAGTTGTAGTTTCATTGTGTAGTAAATCTCTAGGAAGAATCTGAGCTCTAAGGAATGCTTAGATTAGTAAAACCGAACTGTTCTGTGGAATAAAGTTTACCAACGGAAAAGTGTTTTGTTTTGTTTTGAGACGGAGTTTCGCTCTTGTTACCCAGGCTGGAGTGCAATGGCGCAATCTCGGTTCACCGCAACCTCCGCCTCCTGGGTTCAGGCAATTCTCCTGCCTCAGCCTCCTGAGTAGCTGGGATTACAGGCATGTGCCACCACGTCCAGCTAAGTTTTTTGTATTTTTAGTAGAGACGGGGTTTCACCATGTTGACCAGGATGGTCTCGATCTCTTGACCTCATGATCTACCTGCCTCGGCCTCCCAAAGTGCTGGGATTACAGGCTTGAGCCACCGCACCCGGCCTCAGAAAAGTTTTTTTTATAGCCAAGTTTGTTTCTTCTTAGTTGTTATAATTCAGTTTGTTTTTTTCCCAGTTACGCTTGAAACATTGAGCATCTGTTTTCACCTTGCAAATGAGAAATACTGTAGTAACAATAGGGTTCTGGAGTTGAAAATAAAATAATTTCACCTGAAAGTTTAGCGTTTAATTTTTCCTTTCTAAGAAAGCTAACTTCAGCAAATTGCTTTAACCTTTGTAAAACTAGAGAGTCTTTTATTTATCTCATGTCTGTGTTTTGCCAGAGCTATTAAAAAAAGTATCATTGTGAAGCAGGATATTTCCCTGACCTTTTTGCAGGAGTGTCTCCTTTACTCAGCCTGTCTCTCTCAACTGGCCGGAAGGAGAGCATGAGCAAACAAGGCAGGAGCTAGTCATTCCCTAGTGACTACAAAACCACAGTGAGATACCATTACACATCATTAGTCATTAATCGTTGATGTGATTATTAGCTATTTATGTATTTTTTTGGTGAAATGTCTGTTCAAATTCTTGATCCATTTTTAAAATTTGGAGTCTTCCTACTGAATTCTAAGAGTTCTTTATATATTCTGAATACAAGTTATTTATCAAGTACATGATTTACAAGTATGTTCTCCCAGTCTGTGGCTTATCTTTCAATTTTCTTAATGGTGTCTTTTAAAGAGTGGAAGTTTTAAATTTTGATAAAGCCCAATTTATTTTATTTTATTTTATTTTTTCTGTTACAGATTGAGTTTTGGTATCATGTCTAAGAATTCCCTAACTCAGAGTCAAAAAAACTTTTTCCTGGAAGTTTTACAGTTTTATCTTATATATTTTAAAGTCTGTAATCCTGTTTGAGTTAGGTTTTTTTTTTTTTTTTTTTTTTTTTTTTTTCTGACATGGAGTCTTGCACTGTTGCCTAGGCTGGAGTGCAATGGCGCAGTCTTGGCTCACTGCAACCTCTGCCTCCTGGGTTCAAGCAGTTCTCTGCCTCAGCCTCCCAAGTAGCTGGGATTACAGGTGCCTGCCACCGTGCTCAGCTAATTTTTATATTTTTAGTAGAGACGGGGTTTCCACATCTTGGCCAGGCTGGTCTTGAACTCCTGACCTCTTGATCCACCCTACTCAGCCTCCCAAAGTGCTGGGATTACAGGCATGAGACACTGTGCCCAGCCGATGGCTGATTAGTTTTTATATGAGGTGTAAGAGTCTAAATTTACTTTTTTGCGTATGGATATACAGGTGTTACAGTACGTTTTGTTGAAGAGGCTATCTTTCTTCCATTGAATTTCCTTAACACCTTTGTTGAAAATCAGTAGACCATATGAAGATTTATTTATTTCTGGACTCTATTCTGTTACTTTGAGATATATGGCTGTCTTTATACTAGCATACTGTATTTGTTAGTATGGCTTAATAGTAAATATAGTTTAATAAGGAAGGGAGATACATCCTCCAATGATTTTTCCCCCCAGAATTTTTTGGGCTATTTTGGTTTCTTTACATTTACATATAAAATTTAGAATCAGATTGTCAATTCTTAGAAAAATATCTGCTTGGAATCTATAGAGAGTACACTGAATCAGTAGGTCAATTGTGTAGAATTGTCATCTTAACAATATGGAGGCTTTCAGTCCATCAACTTACTGTATCTCTGCACTTATTTAGATCTTAATTTCTCTCAGCAATGGTTTATAGATTTAAATATACAACTATTGGAATTTTTTTGTTAAGTTTATTACTAAATAATTTTTATTATTATTATTATTATTTGAGATGGAGTCTCTCTCTGTCACCCAGGCTGGAGTGCAGTGGCATGATCTTGGCTGATGACAATCTTTACCTCCCAGGTTCAGGCTATTTTCCTGCTTCAATCTCCTGAGTAGCTGAGTATCTGGGACTACAAGGCTGCACCACCATGCCCAGCTAGTTTTTAAAGTTTTTTTTATTTTTAGTGAAGACAGGGTTTCACCATGTTAGCCAGGCTGGTCTCAAACTCCTGACCTCAAGTGATCTGTCCACCTTGGCTTCCCAAAGTGTTGGGATTATGGATGTGAGCCACCATGCCTGGCCATATTTCTGAAGGGTAGTTTTGCTAGATATAAAAATCTTCAGCCAGGTGCAGTAGTACCTGCTGAAAGTGGGAGGAGTGCTTGAACCTGGGAAGCAAATGTTACAGTGAGCCAAGATCATACCACTGTACTCCAGCCTGGGTACAAAACTCCATCTAAAAAAAAAAAAAAAACTTCATTGATCATTTTTAATTTCAGCGCTTAAAATATGCCATTCCACAGAATATGTCATATTGTTCCCCTGTTGTAATGAGTCATTTTTCTCCTGTTGCTGTCAATATTTTCTCTTTGTTTTTAGCAGTTCGACTATGATATATCTTAGTATGGATATATTGGCAATTTCATCAAATGTTGAACATTATTTCTCCAAAAAAAATTTTTTTTCCTCTCCTTCTTGGGATTCTGTTACACATATAGTAAGCTTGATGTTTTCATACCAAGTGACTGAGATCCTGTTCCTTTTTCCCCAATGTTTTTTTCCACCTGCTCTTTAGATTGTTTAATTTCTGTTGATCTCTTTTCAACTTTATTGTTCCTTTTCAATTTTATCGTTCCTATCTGAAACAGCTGTTTCAGATCTGCTGTTAAGTCTGTCTACTGATTTTTTTCTTCTGGTATTGTATTTTCAATTAGAATTTTCCTCCATTTCTTTCTGGGCACGGTGGCTCATGCCTGTAATTCCAGCACTTTGGGAAGCCAAGGCGGGTGGATCAGTTGAGGTCAGGAGTTTCAAACAAGCCTGGCCAATATAATGAAACCCTGTCTCTACCAAAAATACAAAATTTAGCTGGAGGTGATGACACAAGCCTGTAGTCCCAGCTACTTGGGAGGCTGAGGCAGAAGAAGAATCACTTGAACCTGGGAGGCAGGAGTGGCAGTGAGCTAAGATTGCATCACTGTACTCCAACCTGGGCAACATTCTGTCTCAAAGTGTTTTAAGTTTCCTTATTGAGATTACCAATTTGTTGAGTCATTGCAACAGTTTTCCTTTGAACCACCACACCAGGCCTAGAATTTTTTTTCTTGCTATATAATTTGGCTGAGCTATAGAACTTTTAAGAACTATAGTAATGTGTTACAATTATTTTTCTTAGAGGTATTTGAAAGTAACTGTAAGTCCACT